TTGGGTTCAGTCTGCACCATGGAAGCTCCAAGCCATGAACAGGCCAAGGCTATGGAAACAGGCTAACAAGTCGCCCCGTGTGGGGAAGCAGAAATGAAGAGGCTGTCAGAAAAAGCAGTTCAGAGAGAGAATAAAGCTGACGCATAGACAATTATGTGTAAAATAATGAGGAAGGAGAAAGGGAATGAGAAAGGAGGACAGCAGAAAACAAAGAGAACAGAGGGCAGAGACTAGACATTAAGAGACAGAGCCAGAGGCAGCGAGAGAGACAAAGAAATGAACTGTCAATGATTTTCCTAGATACCACAATGTCCAGCTATGCTTCCTGCAATTAAATTCCAGATTTCTGATTCTTTCTAACAACTCCTCTTTTACAAACTACTTTAGGTAGACTTGATTCTCGCAACCAAACATTTCTGGAGCTAAACCTCTGCTTCTTGACTCTAGCTGTATCTTTTAAATGTTTAATTTGCAACTATGAAAATATATGTACTACCTAACATAAAGGGACTGTAAAAAAGTGAGGCTCTCAAGGAACAGGGGCTATAATTGACTTGTAACACCTTAACTAATTTTCAAGGACAGACTGGACTTTATAAAGTAGCTAACATTTATTGAGCACTTCCTTTGGACCACTTTCGAAAGCTGTACATGCAGGATCTCACCTATTCTTCCTGACCAGCGCAGGTGTTATCATCACTCCCATTTTACATGTAAGAAAATTAAGGCATGGGCCGGCCAAGTGGCACGTTGGTTAAGAGTTGGCTTAAGACACCAGCTCTGGGCAGCAGGACCCCGGTTCGGATCCCACATGAGAGCCAGTGACGCTGCGCCCTCTACAGCTAAGAGATGGTGAACAACAGCTCGACCTGGAGCTGGGCTGCCGTGAGTTGCCAGAGACAGCATAGGCTGCAGTGGGGCTGCAGTGAGCTGCCGTAAGCTACCATGAGCAGCCAGCGTGAGCTGCCAAGAGCCGCCGTCCAGTGACTGGTGACCGATCTTCGCCTCACCCAGGAAGAGCACAATGATAATACCAACATGGGCCAGTGAAGCGACGTCCTCTACAACTAGACTGAGGAACAAAAGGACAACAACTTGTCTGTTCCCCTCCCTGATTCCCCAACGATCTTCCCCTCCAATTCCCCAATAAAAAAAAAAAATCTAAAAAAAAAAAGAAAATTAAGGCAAAGAGAGATTCATAAGTAACTTGCTCAAGGTCACACAGTCAATAAGGGTATAAAGGTGGAATGTGTTTATTTACATTAAAATTGACATTTGAAAAAAGTATATGCATTCATTTGTCAATAAATTTTTGTTGAACGCCTATTAAGTACAGAGTACTGATTTAAACTAATAAACTGGTTAACAACATTGTAACAAATATAAAGTCCTTTTAAATATCACTATTCAAAACAAATCTTCCTTTCTGTTACACACTTACACACACACACACACACACACACACACACACACACAAAGATGCACTTTCAAGTTCTTTAATTTCCAAAATACCTCCTTTAAAACAGAAGGAAATAAATTCTGACAATGCTATTTTCGATGCATTAACTATTTTGAAATTCACTGGCATGACTATCTGAAGATTACTTGCTGCAAGCTAGGCTCACGTGAAAAGAAACTTTGACCTCGGAGGGAAATCTACGTTGATAACTATATATCCATTTAATGAACTGCAGCGTAAGGTACACACATGTACACACAAAAAGGAAAATGACAAGGAGGAGAGGAGTTTCTCATGGGAGGTGGTGAGTTGCCATGGATTCTGCTTCTCTTGATTTTTGGAGCAGGGCTTGCCTGAGAGCACTGATTTTCTCATCAAGTTCAGCTAGTGAATAGTTCTGCTGTAAACAATAAGAACGCAAACTGCTGAATAAGATCCCAAAGTATCTTAATACAGATAAAGTGCTAAATGAGCTATAAATATTTAAAATATCCAAAAGCATGGTAAATGTCTCTTTTCCTCATGAGAATAATTTAAATATTGAACTGTGTATGTTGACTATATCATAAATTTAAAGGTAAAAAATAACAAGGTTTAAATATGTGTTTATCTTTCCTAATGACTAAGCTCTCCTAGACCTTTTATACTTTGAAAGGATTGTAAAAACTTTTTAAAAAACTGACTATTCTCATAATCAATAGTAAAAATAAATAAATAAATAAAACTTTAGAAGTGGTTTAAGTGCTTGAAACACCTGGAAACTCTCCTTTGTTGTATCAACTGCAACCAACTGCCTCTCCTGGAAAGAATGGACACTCTCAAAAATTTACAATAAAAAATAAGTAACATGCTATTCTTAAAAAAAATAAACAAACCTAAATATTTTTAAAGTTCTCCCCAACTTTAAGTTTATATTACCACCACTGAAGACACTAATTATGATTCAACTAACTAAGGTAATAGGACTGTGGACAGGAGTGGGCTGAAGTCAGCCTCTGCCAAACAGTCTTTTCTGATTTAGATACTGCTATTAGTGGTGTCTGCAAAAGGGGGAGGGGGTGAAATCTAAATTACTTAAGCATTTATTATTTTTAAGCATTTTGTAACTGATATATACTTCTACTATTAATTCTGAATACAGACTTTTATATTTATTAGGCCCATCTGAGTCATCCCATGCCCCTGATATAAAATTATTTTTCTAATTCAAGTACATTAATTTATGCTGCGCTTTTTTTAGTCCTAAATCCCAAGGCATGACCTAAAAAACCACCACAGTAGAAACTTTTATTAAGAAAATTATAAAACTGATCAAACTATTTCAGAAGCCAAAATGAAAATGCAGTAACTTACTTGAGGTGGTTGAATTTTTCTTCTTTTTCCAGAAAAGTTCTAGATTAAAAGTAAAAAAAAAAAAAAAAAGTTAAGTAATTAATGCTTAGAAAATCTAAACCATTTTCCTTTATAGAAGACTGAATACAATATAAAGAGAACCCTGGCAGAAATAAAGCCCACAAACTCACCAAGTGAGCACTGTCTGCCACCAACGGGCACCTTCTAGTATTTTGGAAGTTACCGTCCACAGAAACTATTAACAGGGTAGTAACATCACAGCAACACGCTTGTCCCTCGTCATACACACTTTCCCATTAATTCTCAGCTTCTAAAGAGGCTGACTGATTGTGGAAAGAGGTGCTCTGGGGATTTTCTTAGTCTCCTTTTTCATAATCTATCCATCCCAGGATATTGAACAAATGAAAACAGATTGGAAGAGCAGGCCAATGGGTGAAAATACACACAGACAAACCTGACTGACTACACTGGACCCTGTGGTTGTGTGAACACCTGTCCACTGTTCCACCATTCCACCATGTGATGCTGAAATGCAGCTCCCGCCCCACTGGTCTTGTCCATGACTGGAAAGGGCATGGACCCGATGTTGGTCAATGAGTAAGGCGAGGTCTGTTGGGAATCAACAGGGGAACTGCTCAAAAAAATCCTCACTTCTGAGAGAAAACCCTCACAGGGGGCGGTTCCTCTGGACACCGCTGTGTTCTGGATAGGTCGTCCTGCCATCTTCCCTAGGAAAAAGTCAACTCCAAGCAGAGCCGAGAGGGGAAAGAGCCCGATTCTCTGACAATCATGATTTAGCCGATGAATCAATTAACCCTGAGGACTGCGCTACCATTGAACATCCTCCTTTATAAGATAATTCCATATTATTTAAGCCATGCTGAGTTTAAATTTCCATTATGTGAAGCTGACAACATTCTCACTAACATGCTGCTGAACCTTTTAAACCTTAACCTAGTGAATTCTTTCTAGATTTTGTTCTTGGTTTCACAGAACCGCAAGCTTTCAAAAGGCAAATTAGTATATCAGTACATTTGACAAAGAAACTATCAATGTAGGAGGCAAAATTTTCTCATGAACATTTCTGATGACTGAGAGAAGGTGAAAATTCCTATATTCCTTTAGGTCAAAGCTATTTCAAAAAATATTGAGGTGTGCCTCTTATCAGTAGTGGGAAATCATTCAAATGTTGAAATTATTAAATATGGGGGGAAAAACTGCTTTTATAAATAAATATGCTCTTTCCTTTGCCAAACTGAGCTGGGGCCTCTGAGCAGGTAAGGGCTTAACACTGAATTTGGTCACTGCTCAGTCTCTATCTTGCCTTCCCCAAGTGGTGGCTTTTTATGCACCTACTGAAAATAAACCTCCCCTTCTTTTCCTAACAGTTTAATCTATAAAATATTGACAGCTTCCATGTCATTGAGCAATCAGATTATTATTGTATCATGAAACTAAAGAAGTACCAGAATGAGAAGAATAAGGATAGCAGTGGTTCAATGACTTAAAAACAGTAAAATGCCATCTTTGTGGGCTTTTTTTAGATCTGAGCAGACTATTCGGACAAGTAGAACACTTAGAAACATCTATTGTGAATACACTGGACTAGCTTTAAAATTTATTTTTTTCAGGCATAAGGAAATCTCAGCATAAGATGTGGAAATTTTATCAAGTTTTGGTACCTGCGAGAAAATATTTGAGAGCACAGTATACTAAACAAACAGCTGGACAGAGATAATTTAAAAATTGTCTCTTCCTTCCTATGATTTTACCTTATTAGGTAATTTATAGCTGCATTTATAATACCCATGTCCTGATGAAAAGGTGATTAAACACACACACGCACACAAGCACCCAGGAAAGCCATGCTCTAAGGAAACTCAGTGGTAAGGAGGCCTCCTGCTGGAAAGAGCCACTGATTTTACAGGTGCAGTGTCTTTAATGCTTCTTCCCTTCTAGTCCCACTGCCCTGATTCAGACCTTCATTTCTCACTGGTGTGGAATTTCCTACTTTCCTTGACTCCACTCTCTCCAACTCACTTCGTAAAATGCCACCAGACAGGAACCTAAATTACAGGTTTCTTGCTCAAAAACTTAACTGTGCTCCAAGCACACTGGAACTGCAAACTGGTTACTGTGACCTTCCATAACTCCAAAATGCATTTGCAATTTAATTTTCCAGCTGCAGCCAGCTGCTCACCTCACTTTTCTAGCCCACTGTGCACGGCTGAGGCACGCAGCTGATTTAACCTTCAGCACCCCCTCTCCCGATACTTCCCTTTAGAACTAGGAGTTACCATCACAGACCAGAGTTAAGCCTCTGGTGTGAAGCTACAATTTGGCTCCATTTCCCAATTGTGTTCTCTTTGGCAAGACACTTAAAGCTTGCTAAGCCTTGGTTTCTCTATCTGTAAAATATAGATACAAGTATCATCTCATGGAGTTACAAGGTTGAAATAAAAGATCCATGTAAATATGCTTAGCACAAAGCTTGACACAGAAAGCATTCAGTAAACATTAATATGATTATTGCAGGAAATAACTGCATTGGTTCAGATGTGTCTGGCTAATCATCCAGTTTGGGGATATTTTGTTTATGGAAACGAATGATGACAAAATGTTTCAGTCCCAGGTGGTACATACTGATTACATCATTATATTTCTGACATTCCCCTAAAGTTTTATGGTTGCATTTCTGGGAATATGTTAAGTTCCTTTTGCTATAATTGTATTATATTAATTTTTTTTAACTAAGACACAAAATTTACAAAATGCAGAGGAGGAAATTCAGTTTTTGTTGCTACCTAAGATAGTTTTTTTAAATTTAGGCAGTCCGTGCTTTGGAACAAAGTTAACACGCCTTCACAAGTCCAATAATTAACTATCAGCCAAGTCCTATCCCTTCATTTGCACATTTATTCAATACCTACTATACTCTGTGTGTTCAAACATGAACGAGACAGTTCCTGCCCTTCAGAGGATCAAAATATAGTGTGAAATATTGATGTGTAAACATGTCATTATAAGTGATAAGTGCTATAAAATGAACAAAGTGCTGTGGAAATACACTTATAAAGCATGTTATACTTACTGTTTGCAAGGGTCATAATTTAAAATCAGTAAGTAATTCTTTGGAAATACTTATAAGGATTGTAATCTTTTAGATGGTCTGTTAAGCGATGCCCTTAAAATTTTCAAAACATTACCACACTCAAATCTTTCCATGTTGAATGTGCAAAGGTAAAGAACTTTAGAACTATTAGTGCAACAAATACTTATCTGTCGTAATTCCTGCTTTATATACATTAACTTTTTTTAGTTGTGTGTCTGTTTCATAAATGAAAAGAACTTTACATGATCTGGTTTTGTTTCATGAACAAAATATAATTTATATCTTTTTTCCTGTTAATGTTCTCCTTTTTGTGTTCTGAGGTTACCCACGATCATCAATCTCTACCCACCTGTGAGAGGCTTCTGTTTTTTTAATCCATTTACATGTGAATCTGGACTAAACACATTTCAATTAAAACCTTTTCAGACTATGGAACTATTTCTAACAAATTTCTAACAAAAAATGCACTGGGCTCAACTTTCCCTGACTTTCTATTTTTTTTTAAGATTTCCACTGGGGAATTGGGGGAGGGGTACAGCGCTGGGGAATCGGGGGAAGGGGAACAGACAAGTTGCTGTCCTTTTGTTCTTCAGTCTAGTTGTGGAGGACGTNTCATTTTTATTGACGTTTTTCCTATTGTATTGCTGGTGTGATGGTAGTAAAATGTGCCAATAAACCCGGAGGGGGTCATTCTGGCAGGATTGTGATTACAGAGACTGAGTGGCAGGTCTTTGTCGCTGTACCTGTGATACTGGAGCACGTTAGGCAAGACTATCCTGAAGGAAGAGTTTCCTGTACAGAGAAGAAACATACAGTAAGTCCCCGACTTACGAATGAGTTCTGTTCCAGGAGAATGTTCGTTAAGTCGGACTTGTTTGTAAGTCCGACAAAGTGAGTCTTATGCACCTTTGACACAAATATACAATGTAAAGCCAATGGTTGAACGATTCATGTTACAAGAACAAGCGATGTCTACCATCTTTTCGCCTCGGTCCAATCTCTCAATTATTTTCACTTTTGTTTCCATGGTTATTGCTTTGAGCTTCCTAGCAGTCCCCTCCACATCACCACTGCTTTTCCTCTTGCTTCCGGACATCCTGGGCTCTGATTGAGCACTGTACTACTGTACGCTATCGCACTGTACAGTAAGCACGCAGCAGCACAACTGTGACAGTCTCCGGCAGACAGGTGAGCTACTTCCGCAATTTGTTCGCATCTACGAATGTTTGTAATGAGAGGCCTGTTCGTATCTGTGAAAGTTTGCAGCTCAAATGTTCGTAAGTTGGGGACTTACTGTAGTGATGTTAGTGGAATCGACCTAGTCCACATCCACTTCTTGTGAATGACTCCAAGGCTGTTTTTTACCAGGTGACTCCATTTACAAAGCTTCTGCAAATGGTTGTACAAGGTTGTGTGTACATGGCAGAATCCCATGAAGAGGTTCCTGCCTTATCATCCTGGCCACAGCTGATGGGAGACCCCTGATCACACTGAGTGACAGTCATTCTCTGAAGGACTTGAACTGAGAGAGAAGACAGGAAAGCAGCCGCATTCAACGGACTTGTGAGGTTGGTTCTACAGAGTTGGGTTCAGTCTGCACCATGGAAGCTCCAAGCCATGAACAGGCCAAGGCTATGGAAACAGGCTAACAAGTCGCCCCGTGTGGGGAAGCAGAAATGAAGAGGCTGTCAGAGAAAGCAGTTCAGAGAGAGAATAAAGCTGACGCATAGACAATTATGTGTAAAATAATGAGGAAGGAGAAAGGGAATGAGAAAGGAGGACAGCAGAAAACAAAGAGAACAGAGGGCAGAGACTAGACATTAAGAGACAGAGCCAGAGGCAGCGAGAGAGACAAAGAAATGAACTGTCAATGATTTTCCTAGATACCACAATGTCCAGCTATGCTTCCTGCAATTAAATTCCAGAT